ATGTTTATCCGTTAAAGTTTCACTACCAACAATAAATCTGTCTTCTGGCATGCTTTGGTTATCCATTCTTGCTTCATGCTCACTTATGGTAGAAAGCAGAACCACGGGTAAACACGAAGTTTCCTCAAGAGCTTTACTCTTTAAGTTGGCGGAAAGGGGCATTAGAGTAGCTCCTATCGAAACTTCAGATTCAACAGACGGAGCATTAGTGGAGGCGGAAATAGGCGCAACTTGGAATTGTTGTTCAAGTGCCACCGAACTCCTTAAATCAACTTCCTCATTATTTGAAAAGAGCGATATTTCGATTTGCTCACTTTCTTCTGCTGTGCTATCGCCTTCCAACTTTGATTCCTTTTCAGTTTTCAAGGAAATCATTAGCACAGGAAGGTTGGGATTTTCCTCAAATGTCTTACTTTTATGATCTGATATGTTTGGAAGTAGTGTGGCTCCTATAGAACCTTCAAGCAAGCCCTTCGTTGCAGGACTGGTTGAAGAAATAGAAGTCACTTCAATCTGTTGTTCCAGAGCAGAAAGACCTTTCAGATTTTTTTCATTATTTGTGGGTAATAAAGAAGGCTCGATTTTCTCTCCTGACAAGCTATGACCCTCAAAGTCTAATCCTTTTTCACTGTTTAAAGATGCCATCACTACAGGCAGCTTAGTTGCCTCCTCGACGGATTTGCTTTTATGATCCGAAATATCTGGAAGCATGGTCGTACCTATAGAACCCTCATGTACGTTCCCCGGTGAAGGACTGACTGAAGATATAGGAGAAATCTGAATCTGCTCCTCCAATGCATAAAGTCCCTTTAGATTTATTTCATCATTACCAAAAATGAAAGGTATTTCAATTTGTTCTCCTTCCTCAGAGGAGTTTTGGCTTTCCATCTTTGATTCCTTCTCACTTTCGTTTTTCATCATTACCAACGGGGTCTGAGAGATTTCCCCTAGTAATCTACTACTATGGTCATAAAGATCAGGAATAAAACCGCATTCAAACGTTCCTTCCAAGAGCTCTGTCGTTGAATCACTCGTTATACGGTTATCACGGAGTCTTATTTGTTGCTCCAAACCATTGAGTGCCTGAAGTTTAAAGCCAGGGATTGCATCAACACTTTTACTATCTTCCGATGATATCGATTTGAGCTCATTGCAAGGAGTCGATGGATTAAACATCTCGTTGCAAAACGTAAGGCCCTGATCTAATAGTTCTTCAGAGTGTGGATAGATATCAGGACTGCCTTCTGTTATCTCATTATTATCATCAAACTCATTTTCCTTATATAAAGTAAAAGAAATCTTTCGTTCAGATGCATGGATAGCTTCTTTGTTGTTTTCAATCTCAAAATCATTCTTGTTTATTAAGCTAAACTCCAGCCTTTCATGATCTGGAATCTGGGCTAACTGGGAGACTTGAATAATTGTTGGAACCTCTCCGAGCTCTTTGCCTTCTTTCAGTGCCTCAGTTAGTTTCAGAGTCTCATGTTCCGGCAGCACATAAGTATCATCAGGCTGGCTTTCCGTCTCAACGGTATTTAATGGCATACAGATAGCCTTTGTATCAGAGACTGCACTGCAAAACTTTAAGCTGAGTGCTGACGGATCCTCTTCGTTGTCGATTGGTTTCATTGTTAGCGTCCGGTCTTCAGGCTGTGCAAGTAATAAAGAAGGCAAACAAATAGTGGTAGTCTCGCTCATCTGACCACGTTGAGATATCTCAGGCTTGTGCTTTTTAAAGATTTCCATTTGGTTAGGTTGCACCTGAAGTGATGCAGGAAGACAAATGTTGGCCGATTCGTGTTCAGAACGTGCTGATGCAGTAAATGGTAGAGGAGGTAATTGTTCCTGCTGAAAGGAAATAAATGAAATCACCAGTTATTTAAATCCCATACACCTATTCATTTCAGCCCAAACAAAGATAATT